GGGGGGTTTTCTGAGGGTGTTTCTGGGGTGTTCCTGAGGGGTTTGGGGTGGCCCCCAAGGGGTCTTGGGGTGGTCTTGGGGGGCTCAGGGTGGCCCCTGAGGGGTTTGGTGTGGCCTAGGGGGGGTTTTGGGGTGGACCCTGAGAGGTTTGGGGTTTTTTGGGGTTTTTTGGGATTTTTTGGAGTTTTTTTGGGGGTGTTTTCTGAGGGTGTTTCTGGGATATTTCTGAGGGGTTTGAGGTGGTCTGGGGCGGTTTTTGGGGTGGTTCCTGAGGGGCTTTGGGGTGGCGCCCTGTTTTTTGGGATCCCCCCATTTTTTGGGACCCCTGGCCGTTTTTTGGGACCCCCCCCAGTACATTTTGGGACCCCTGCCCGTTTTTTGGGGCCCAGGGAAGCGCTCGGCCCAACATCTTCGGGAGGAGCTGCTCTTCCACCTGGAGTGGGTGGGCAAGGAGTCGGGGATCCTGGTGCTGGGGGACATCGCCGAAGGTGGGACCCCAAAAACCCCAAAACCCCCAAAAAACAGCCCGAAAATCCCCCAAAAACAGCCTCAAAAACCCCCAGAAACAGCCCCAAAACAGCCCCTGATCCAGGGCATCCTGTTGCTGGGGGACATCGCCGAAGGTGGGACCCCAAAAATCCCAAAATCCCCCAAAAACTGCCCCAAAACCCCCAGAAACAGCCCCAAAATGAGCCCCTGATCCGGGGCATCCTGGTGCTGGGGGACATCGCCGAAGGTGGGACCCCAAAAATCCCAAAATCCCCCAAAACCAGCCCCCAAAACCCCCCAAAACAGGCTCCAAAACCCCCAGAAACAGCCCCAAAATGAGCCCCTGATCCAGGGCATCCTGGTGCTGGGGGACATCGCCGAAGGTGGGACCCCAAAATCCCCAAAAAACAGCCCAAAAATCCCCCAAAAACTGTCCCAAAATCCCCAAAAACTGCCCCAAAATCCCCAAAATGTGCCCCAAAGCGGCCCCAGCCCGGTGATGACCGCGGACATTCGAATCCCGAATCCCCCTGTGGATCTCTGTGCTCTGAGGGCCTCGGGGCGCGGCGGGTGACCCCAAATCCTCTGGGTGACCCCAAATCCTCTGGGTGTCCCGAAATCCCTTTGGGTGTCCCCAAATCCTCTGGGTGACCCCAAATCCTCTGGGTGTCCCCAAATCCTCTGGGTGACCCCAAATCCTTCTGGGTGACCCCAAATCCTCTGGATGTCCCGAAATCCCTTTGGGT